GTTCCAAGCCGCTCTCTTCCTCCTGCGCAGCTCGGGTGCCAGGTCATTTGTCATGTTGACTTCTCGACCTAAGTACACATAACTGTTGCATTCGGAGATGGTCGTTCCGTTGAGAGCGAACAGAGCATCAGGAACGAGGCTGTTTCTCATAAACATTGTCTTCGTAAGATTCAGCTGTAGTCCGACCTTTCCACACTCACAGTTGAAGTCGGCCAGCATTTGTGCCACTTGGCTAATGTTTGGTGTTATTAAAACAATGTCATCAGCAAAGCGGAGGTGGTGTAGTTGCCGACCACCATTCCTTCACTCCCGTTCCTTCCCATTCCAGTCCTAACATGATGTTCTCGAGGGTGGCACTAAAGAGTTCCGATGAAATGGTATCACCCTGCCAAACCTCTCTCTTGACATCAATGATTACTTCTTTGTAGAATGGTGAGATCCTGGTAGTGAATCCGTAATACAGCTCACGGAGGATCCTGATATATTGAGTTTGAATGCCCTGATGGGCTGGGGCTTCAATGACCGCTTCCATCTCAACAGAATCAAAGGCCTTCTTTAAATCAATGAACGTTAGACAGAGCGGCATCTTGAACTCCCGAGAAACCTCAATGAGCTTGGTTATCATGTGGATATGGTCGATGGTGCTGAATCCTTTGCGGAACCCGGCTTGCTTGCATGGTTGTCCTTCATCTAGTGTTCTATCAATCCTAATCAGGATGACTTGAGTGAACAACTTGTAGATGACAGACAATAGGCAAATCGGGTGATAGTTGTCAATGTTGTGGATGCCTTCCTTCTTGTACAGTAGTACAGTCCTGCTGGTTTTCCATTGGGACAGAAACTTGCATTTAGACAGGTAGCGTGTGAAGAGCGTATTGATGAATACTGATGGCAGGTTCTTCAGGTGTTCAGGTAACTATTGCGGCAACATGGGGAGATGCCACTGTTGACAACATTGACGAGGAATACAATCGACTGGTTCAGCACCTCCATGATTGTGCGAGGAACGCCAAGAGAGAGATAGCCACAAAAAAAAAAATACCTGTCTTTGAAAACTCTTGAGCTCATCAACATGGTTCGGTGCATGCCTCGGGCAACCGCAAGCAAACATTGGAGCTCGCAAAGCAGTGCAGAGATGCGATCAAGGAAGACCTCAAAGAGCGAAGAGCAGAAGTGCTGGTAGATGCAGCGGAAGCCGGGAAAAGCATTCGTAAGGCCCGCCTGTCCTTCGACAACTACAAGACCAAGATGACTGCCCTCCGACGTCCTGATGGATCTATCACATCCTCCAGAACGGCAATGGAGAAGATTATCCATGACTTCTACTCAAATCTCTTCCATAGCCATGTCCGCCTGCCCACATACCCAATTCCACAGGATGGATATGTTGTTCCCAATGTTCTCCCTTCTGAAATCCAACATGCATTTCGTCAGTAAAGAAATGAACAGCACCTAGCCCAAACAAGGTCAGACCTGGAACCTTAGTTAAATACTAATAATGAATGATTTCAGGACAAAATGGCAGATTACCTTTGTTTTAGCAAAGTTCACAATGGTTATTTGAAGAGACACTGGGTTGCATTAGGAAGCTCTCTACCTAGCCTGAGAGTTTAGGCACTATTAATATCATTTACTACGTCCAGATACCAAAGGTGGAGATTGAATTTTAACTGTCTCATACTGGATCCTCTGAAAATTTGATAGTTAAAATATCCTGTTGAAGGAATGTTCACCTCTTTCCAGACTTTAAGTTGTGCTAGTCTCATCTTTTGAGGGGAATAGAGCTGGTAATAAAAGGTAGGGTGTGCGGTAGGAGCGATAGCACAGTGGGTAGGGCGTTTGCCTTGCACGCGGCTACCGGGTTTGAGTCCCAGCATCCCATATGGTCCCCCAGCACCACCAGGAGTAATTACTGAGTGCAGAGCCAGGAGTAACCCCTGTGCATCACAAGAGTTGACCCAAAAAGCAAAAAAAAAAAAAAAAAAAAAGGTAAGGTGTGTCGGTGTGTCGGTGTGTCAGTGTGTTTGTAATTAGCTTTTATATTCATCCATAGAGACTATTTATATAGTTAGGGAACATTTACTTAGTCAGGAAAACTTTTTAATTTATGGACTATGAATTACAAGTGCAAAAGGACAAAACAACAAATGTGCCTTTGTTTAATAAAGAAATCCAGTGTTGCTTAATGTTCTCATTGTTTAAATTCTTACCACAGGAATAGTGAAATACTACTGTTATAATTGACCCTCCTGTATTATATATAATATGTATGCACTCGATGAATTACATATATTATTATTAGTGTTGTTCAGAGCTGAGGTTAAATGTCCAGACAAAGGTCTTCTAGCTAGACACCTGACACCCCACACACAATTTCCATTCTAGCCCTGTATCAATTTAATCCACATTGTGTGTGAGAACATATAAATGAGAGAATACATTTCAAATTATAATTTAGCATTCAAAAATGACCATAAAATTAAAAATCACTGCATGGGAGTCTGATTAAGTGGGATGAAATTGTACTCTGAAATTTAAACCAGTTCCTCCAGAGTTGAACCACCTAAGATAGGGTTCACTCAAAGGCTAAAAGCCTGAAAGGTTTGTTGGGGGGAGGTAAGGAGGGGTCTCCTGTGAGGGATGTGGACTCCTCAGGCAAGGTAAAGCCAGGGCTGCCCTAGGTAAACCAGTAGTGGTAGGCACGGAGGAGAGGGTCAGAGGAAACTGCTTGGCACTGTGTAGGCCTGCCTCAGGAACTGCTGTCAGACTACCTAGTATTACAATAAGGTCCTTGACCTTCAATCTCAGCCGTTCATACCACAGGCTGAGTGATGTCCTGAAAGCATCCTTCCTCCATTTGACAGGGACCATTATTGTCCAACATAGGTAAGAAGCAAGAACCTTGGAAGAGGAAGGAAGGAAGGAAGGAAGGAAGGAAGGAAGGAAGGAAGGAAGGAAGGAAGGGAGGGAGGGAGAAAGGAAGGAATGGAGGGAGGGAGGGAGGGAGGGAAGGAGGGAGGGAGGGAGGGAGGGAGGAAGAGAGTCAGGGAGGGAGGGAGGAAGGAGGGAAGTAAGGAGGAAGAGAAGGAAAGGAGATGGGAGGGAGGATGGGAGGAAGAAGAGAGAGAGGGAGGAAGGACGGGAGGGAGGGAGGGAGGGAGAGGGGGAGAGATGGAGAAAGGGAGAGAGGGAGAAAGGGAGAGAGGAGGGAGGGAAAATCTCTTCTACGCTATGTAATAAGATCATTTTCGGGGAATCTCCAAAAACCAAGTTACTTGTTCATTTGTAACTTTGCCCTCATTTTTTCCTAAACAGTGCCACCTACTGTCCATTTTTAAACACCAGGAGACTGTTGGTGAGAACCACAGAGAAATAAAGGGGGGTTGAAATGAATCGAGACACCACTCTTCCTAGCCTTGCGGTACTGAAAGATAGAAAAGATCATTTCAAAGGGAAAACAGAACGAGACACGTATTTTAAATCGGTCTCCCCGCAGAAGGCTCTCAAGAAGCAAAAGCCATGCAAGCCTTTGTAAACCGCGTAAGCTAATGAATACTCTTTTTTTTTCTTCTTTTTGGCAAAGCGCGCTATTTTTGAGTCCCACAAAGATTTCTTTTGCTTTCTTTTCCTACCTAATGCGCTCTGGTCGCGCATTGTCTAGGTAGGGAACCTTCTCGAGTTGGGGCGACTTTTCCCCGGGGCTCCAAGGCGAAGTCGTCTATGTGAGAGAGGTTTTGACACTGGACGTGAGCTCGGAAACTTTTGAGATGAAGGGAAGAAAGGGTTAATAATCAGTTGGTAGAGCGGTGGTCGACTTTTCAGAGCGGCGGCCCCAGGTGTACACACACACACACACACACACACACACACAGACTCACGCGCGTGCATGCATACACGCACGCACACACACACGCGTGCACACACACACGCGAGCACACACACACGCGTGCACACACACGCACGCACACGCGGGCTAGCGCGCGCGCACACACACACCGCACGCTCCCAGCTCTCTCTCAGCCAGGGCGGTTTACTTAGCCTGTGGGCATCATTTGGTCTTAAAACAAGTGACTTAGAACGCTCGGGCCAGCTTATCGCGGAGAGGGAAGCCCGATCACCCTGACCGGGGTCCCGGATGTCTACACAGCCGGGCCCAGGCCCCAGCCCCGAGCGCAGGCGGGGTGGATCAGGTGGTCCTCCAGTGCGCGCAGCCTTCCCAGCCCCAGCACACGTTAGCAATCAAATTAATTGAATTCATTGGAGTTGAGGAGCGGCTTGGCGCTGAGGGAGAGCTTTGAATGGCCAATGTCTCTCTCCCTCTCCCCCTCCCCGCCTACCGCCCGCCTGCCCGCGCTCCCAAGTCCCCTCCCCTCCGGGACCCCAGTCCGCACCTCCCTCTCCACTCCCCTCACCCCCACTCCCTCCTCCGCCCTATTAAAACACCCACCAGCTCACTTGTTAAGACCCCCTTAAGTTGGAGGAGGCAGAAAAGGCAACAACCGCGAGGAAGGAGAAGTCAAAGAAGTCTGGAAAGAATTACCCAGTCCTGGCTTCTAGCAGCCGGTGGAAGCAGGGACTTGAACCAGCCCCAGCCAAAGACTTTCTCCCGATTCTGTGCTTGCTGGTCCTGCTGAGTCTCCATCCGGCTTTTTGTGATTCGAAAAAAGAGACGAACCTTTCCGATATTTAGGGAGGGGAATTGGAGAAAAAAAAAAGAGAGAGAGAGAAAGATATAATAAAAATAATATATAAGTAATAAAATTAATTTATTTTTAAAAAACGGTTGTTTTCTTTAAAGAATTGGGAGACCGAAGTACAACGGAAATATTGAAAAGTGATTAATTTTCTGTTTTTTTTCTTCTATATTTTTTCCTAGTGGGGGAGAAGCAACCGTTCAAGACACCCCTCCCCTGGTTTTAAATGTTGTTTTTAAATTTTTTATTTTTTTTGGCCGGTCGTCTCAAATTCATCTGATCCTCTTATTACCTCAATTTTGGAAACTGCCCGCCACCGACCCTCCGGGACCACACAGACAGGCTGAGGACAACTTTATGACCAAGAACTGAACAAGGTATGTTTCACTGGCGCGATTGGGTGAATGATAAGATGATAAGAGGCTCCTCGAATCGGCCAGGGAGAGGGGAGAAATTACCCATCTAACTGTCGTGCCCCCACCCCCCCCAGTTCTTAAATTTTAATGAAGTCAGCTCTAGACAAGAAAGTTTAAGGGCGAACATTATCTTTTCACCGAAGAGAATTCAGAGGGTATTTCCGATCACTGTCAGGCTTCACAGAAGCCCCCTGTCTTTCCTGTCCCGGGGGCGTTCGCCAGAAAACCGCCGACTTCCTGGGACCACAGGTAACCTCCGCCTGGGGATGTCTGCACGTCCCGGGATGTACTTTTCCACTCCGCATCTCCCGGAGCTTGGGAAGCAGGACTTGCGGCTGTGCAAGGGAAATGTTTGGGGGCGCAGCCGTCCCTTTCCCCTTTACCTTCCCGTGCCTCCCCTCACTTTCTCCTTCTCCACTCTGGGAGATACTTATTCCCCTCTTGTTTAAGGGAAAGCGTCCCCTGCAACCGCGCAACTAGTTTTATTTATTTCTGAATCGGGAAGCTTGCTTCTCCTTTGGAAAGCAAGAGTTGAAAAGAAAGAAGGAAAGAAAGAAAAAAAGAAAAAGAAAACGTCCCCGGACCCGTGAGGAGGGTCCCCAGCCAGCTCCGCGCCTCTCTCAGCCTCTCTCGGGCACTCCCCCCACCCCACCCCTTCCCCGGACATCCCCTCCTTTGCGCGCCCTGTGCCCCATCAAAGTGTCAGGCAGGGGCTGGGAGCGCTCGGCTCGGCTCCGGAAGCCTTCCTGGGGCCGGGGTCGGGGGTAGGGGGCGTGCTGGAGGTGGCGGGGTCCCGGGCGCTGGCTGGAGGGGTGGGCGAGCTGGGGACCCCGGGCGCGCAGGCAGCTGCAGCTGCAAGCGCCCGGGTCCCTGGAGCCAGTTCCGACGTGGCACCCGGCACGCGGGCGCTGCCGGGGGCTGGGTGTGCTCGAGGGCAGCGAGCGACGCGCTTTGGGCGCGGGGGTCCGAGTGGGGCACCCTCGGAGCCTCGGTGGAGGTGGGAGGAGGGCCAGAGGCTGGGCGGGGATGGAGACACCTCGGGCGGAATTCGTCACGCCGGTTCCCCGCCCAGCGGTGAGCAGGGACTGGGCTCGGGAAGCCGGTGCCCCCGAGGGCGGGTCTGAAAGGAGGGTCTGTGTGCGGGCTAGAACCGGGAGGCGACCTAGGCTTTTTCCTCCAGCTATGGGAATGCAGCCGAGGGGAAAGGGCGTTGAAAGGATAATTAGGGCTGGAAAGAGGGGCTGGGAGTCGAGGGGCGGGGCCGGGGAGGATTAACCAGACCCGGGTCCGATTACACTGCATAGGTGCCAGCTTTCTCGTGCGCCTCTCCCCACCCCATCACAAAACGCAAGAAACAAAAAAGACCCACCCACTCCGGGTCCTTGGACTCGAGCCCCCAGGCTCCCCCTGGGCGAGCGAGCAGCTTGCAGGCGCTCCCCGAGATGCGCTAGGAGCCCAGTCGGGCCCTCCCCGCCCCACCTCTGGGGCCCCTTGCTGGCGGGTGTTTCCCGAACCTCAGTCCAGAAACTAGACTCTCTAACCCACGTGGCTGGCCTGGGATTGCCTTTGACGTCACACCCCCGGGAGGTGTGATGCAATAGATCGGGACGCCTTGATTGGTCACGTAGGGCTTCCCCCAAACTGGAGGCCTGAGTATATAGCGACTCTGCTTAGTGTTGGAGTAAGGCGAAGGAAGTAAGTTTTGAGGAAGAAGAGAGGTAATTGATGAAAGTGTCTCCGCCTATTGCAGATTTCAAGGCTTTGCTTCCTCCCTCCATATCTCTCTGTCGAAGGCATGTGATGCACCATTGGAAGTATTCAACAGGATCATGAAATTTTAGTTACTTTGTAATTTTTGAAAATTTATACCTTCAAAAATACTAATGATAACGAGTTCACGATTTAAATGTGTTTATATAGAATTGACTAGAACAAATATTTATTCCCTCAGGTAGAGTTGCATATTTTATATAATAGTTGAGAAGATCCTTTAAATCCTTTTAAAAATCTTTTTAAAAACCTTTAAAAATTCCAATATATACAAACTGAATCCATAATTACATCATTTTATTTGTATATATTTGCATAATAAATTACTCCTAGAAACAGTACCGTTTTTAAATGATCGTATACATCAGTGCTTTTCCTTAAGCTTTAACTATACTTGTATTATTTTTTAATGAAAGCTTCATTCTTTTGAATACCTATTTTAAGGTTTTAATATGTAGTGTTAGGATTTGCAATTTTTCAACAAATTCAGAATTCTAAGGAAGAAAATTCTACATTATATCATAGTAATCATAAAATTACATACTACCTGAATTGGGTAAATAGAAAAACGTATTGTAATATATTGACAATCGTGTATTAGCAGAATTACTTTTGTTGTACTTAAAATTGATTCTTACTTTACCTGAATGTAATTATTTGTAATTATATGTTTATGGAATTGAAGGGTTTAACTCAGTAATGAGCATCTAATTTGAATGTATATGCATTACTCTCCGCAAAGCAAAGATGATATTTAATTAGCTGCTTTCCTGGAAAACAAGAATTGTGCAAGCAATGAATGAAAAACTCTTCTTAGAAAGTAAGTCAGATCAGCATTTTGTTAGTACTATAAAATATAATGTCATGACATTGTATTTAATGACTAGTTTCACATAAATATTTCCTTATCATTTAGATTAATTTGAAAATATTTATTTTTATTAAGTTTTTGGTTTTTGACTATTTGTCTACTCCCTGCTGTGCTGAGGGGTTGCTCCTGGCATGGTGTTTGGGGGTCTTACCAGTGATTCTGGGAACAGGTGATACTGAGAATGGAATTAGGGGATACTGCACATGTAACATACATTTCATCTCTTTTTAGCCTTCTCCTCAGCTCCAATTTATTGACTTTTTAATGACATTCCTTCTATAGATTTATTTATTGTCACGTATAGTCAGGATGGGAAAAGAAAAGTCCATATCTACAGAGCAATGTGGAAATCCTCTTTGAAAGTAATATGACAGGGTTACATTTCTAATCCAAGACTATGTAGTTTGGATTTTTTTTTAAAAAATGCTTATTATTAGATTTCTGATTATTGCATGAAATGGGAATAATGAGTAAGTGTAATTAGAAAACAACATAAGCCACACTATCTCTTTCTGGTTGCTCGTATTTTTATTCATGCATATCTAGACTGTGTTTCACTAAAAGTCTGCAAGACAGAGCCTGTTGCAGCTGAATTGACAGCTGAATGGAGGGCCAGCTCCCTGGAGAAGAATCCTTTTCATCATATCAGCTTGGTTTTAACTCTTTTTTTCTCTAACAGCAATCTGGATAACATCCCAATGCATATACTTTGAGTTGCTTTCAAGTCTATTTTGAATGTCATTTAAGTGGAGTTTATATATAACGGGTTGGAGTGATAGCACAGCGGGTAGGGTGTTTGCTTGCACACGGCTGACTGTGGTTTGATTCCTCCACCCCTCTCGGAGAACCAGGCAAGCTATCGAGAGTATCCCACCCACACAGCAGAGTCTGGCAAGCTCCCCGTGGCATACTCAGTATGCCAAAAACAGTAACAACAAGTCTCACAATGGAGACATTACTGGTGCCCACTCGAGCAATTGGAGGACAATGCTACAGTGCTATATATACATGTATATTATATATCTTTATAGATTGCTTTGTCCATAATCTAGAAAATGTTACCTTGATATGAGTTAAAATAAATATAACAAGTTTCATACTGTTTATTATTATTATTATTATTTTCATACTGCTTATTATTAAAACACTTAATGGATGAGTATCTATGTACACATCTGTACTATATAATAGTAAAAATCAATAAGCTGATTACACTTCTTAATTGGACTCATATTATCGAAATGTACGCAAAGAAGTCTGAGCTATCATAGTGTAAGGCAGAAAATAATCTGAGTCATTACATAAGCAAATTGATATGTTTGATATGTCTCAGCTACTACATTATAAATTTTAAACACACACACACATATATATGTATATATATATATATTTAACCTTTCCTTCCTCTGTTTCCCCACATGCCAATGCTTTAGAAAAGAGTTTTGCCTCTGGAAGGTTCAGGGATTTACTCAAAACTTAAGTTTTTGGAAGGGGTGTCTAGTAGTATTTTATCCAAGTATTAGTGAGTATTGTTCCTTTGACATGGTCTGTGCTACAGTGGGCTAAAACACTTCTTTAAAATGTACACTGGCATAACATTTATTTATTTTTTTTACTTAAAAGAAGTCATTTTTTTTTATTAATTTAGGGGAGAAGTTTGGAACACACCTAGTGGTGCTTAGGGCTTACTCCTGACTCTGTGTTCAGGAATCTCTTTATTTTAATTGAGATAAACTAGGTTACAATAGTACTGAAGTCTTTTATAGTTGAAGAGCATAAATTCCTCCACCAATGTTTTGAGATCTCTCCATCACTGTCCTATGGTCTCCCTCCTAACTGCTCAATTCCCAAGTTATTCTATCTTGGGATTTGTTTTGGGATAAGTCACGTTTAATGGGAGCTGGATCTAAGGATAAACCAAATATGGTGGAGAGGGATCAGGAAGAGATTTGGGATTACCAATATGCATATGATTTTCACTTTGGAGATTGTGTCCAAGAGTCAGTGGAGAGACATGCAGTGCTTAAATTCCATGCCAAGTCTTTTTGTAAGTTTCCCTTTTGACCAACACTTAACTGAAGTTTAGGATGGTAAAGTTCAGGAATCAAAACGCTTACTGGGAGAACTGGCATCGTGTGGTCATTTGATCAATATTGAGGTGCAAATGAAGAAGCATCTGAACCCTAGAAGTTCCAGACTCAGATCACAGTGGAGATGACTATCCATGGCTCTGAGTCTCTGCTAGGATTGCTACAATAGGATGAAACAGGAGGGGAAAGTTCAGGTTCAAAGCCAGAGGAGGTCAGAGGGGGATGATGTCAGGATCATACACTGCAATGTGCCTCAGAAGCGATAAGCTCTCATTTAATTGGACTCATATTATCCATACTACTCAGACTTCATGTAGTTACCCTGTCCTTTCCAGAGCAGAGGCATTATGCTTGAAGGATGTATATCAATACACATCCTACCATGAAGCATGCTTTTGGAGTTTAACCCAAATAACACCAAATTTTCTGCAATTAGAATCATTAAGAGATATAAAATTTCCTGTTGCCTGGGTTGCATTTCATTCTGATCAGCTCATAGTCATCATCTATAAGTAAATTATAGAGATGGCCGGGTGGGTTGGATGTACAACAGGATCAGGGAACAATGAGTTCTTAGTTTTTTGCACCCTATTGTTTTCTGATCCACCATTAACAGACAAATGTCTGATAACAGAATAAGTGGTATTGTTACCAAGAAGCAGTTTTCAGTGTACTTTGCTAGGGTCTTCTACATATAGTTCATACAACATGAGACCTTGTTCATACAACATGAGTTTTACAGGTAAAAAAAATCTGTTACCCAGGACTAGTTTTTCTATTTATTGGATGTCATCTTGAGCAATGTATTCACTGTCACTGTCACTGTCCCTGTCCTCCTGTTGTCCATCGATTTGCTCAAGCAGGCCCAGTAACATTGTGAGACTTGTTGTTATTGTGTTTGGCATATCGAATACATCATGGGTAGCTTGTCAGGCTTTGCCGTGTGGGTGAGATACTCTCGGTAGCTTGCCAGGCTCTCCAAGACGGGCGGAGGAATTGAAGGCAGAGGAATCAAATTTGGGTCTGCTGGGTCGGCCACTTGCAAGGCAAACACCCTACCCGCTGTGCTATCACTCCAGCCTGAGCAAGGTATTCACTCAACAAATATTCTTTAAATGCCTCCTATTCCCTAATTTCCCTTGTGTGTAAGCATTGCCCCCAGAAAAGACTGACTAGTTTGGGGGAGTTCTTTTTGGTTGTTTCTGGGCCACATGTAGTAGTGCTCAGGGATTACTATTGGTTCTGTGCTTAGGGATCACTCCTGGTGGAGCTCAGGAGACCATATGGGGGTGCTAAGGATTGAGCCATGGTCATACACTGCAAGGCAAGCACCTGACCCACTATACTATCTCTCCAGCCTCTAATTTTAAAATATAATGATGAAGAGAGAAAAATACACTATAATTTTAAAAATACACTATAATAGTCTATACTATAGTCTAGACTATAATAGTCTAATACTATAGTCTAGACTATAATACTATACTATAGTCTATACTATAGTCTAGACTATAATAGTCCCTGGTGATACTCAGGGACTATTCCCAACTCTGTGTTTGGGGTGGTTCAGG